CTTTAAGAGCAATACTACTTTCATTTCATAGTGAGCAGCAAATACTCACTATTTTTTTTATCTCAATGTTGCAGCCAGTGGAGGATTTTCTCCCTGTTTGCTCAGCCCGAGTGTGCAAGTGGGTTGGAGAGGGGGGTTAATTTAAGGGGAAAAGCTCATCCACAAGGCCCTTTCTTGGATCTCGCTCTCAAGAGACGGCATCATGTAGCCAAATTGTGGTGCCATTGGCCCATCCCCGTTGTGGTCGCTGACTGAGTAGGATCACTCATGTGACTAATCCACCAAAGCGAAAAACAAACACCCTGGGAAGAAAATGGTGCTGCAGCAGGGATGAGAGTGCCTGACTGAAAAACAGGGGCTGTTCATAAGCAGAGACGGCACGGAGGGCATGTCTACCCCGCTGCAATCACTACCTTTGGCCCGTAAAATCAAACGTGCTGCATATTCACTGCAGTCTTGAGGCCAGACTGTAAAAGGAACATCATGTTGCATTAGCATGAAAAATATGGATTACTGACAGTGTGGGGTTAGACAACCGAACAGCTTCATTAAAAAAAACAAAAACAATTAATCTGCACAGGGCTTAATGTCCTAAATATCTTTTCAACTGTTATGGTCAACTACAAATCTTTTGTTGAAAAATCACACACACACACCTCATTTTCTCAACTAAACCCATGAAAGAATGAGTTTCTTTTTCTTTTCTTTTGTAAGGATAGGCAACTTGTGCAAAACTCAAGTTGCAGCCTAGCAAGAGATTTCTGCCAGTTTCAACATTCCTCCATAAAATAAAATAGAGCTGATTTAGTCTATGCGGGAAATCTGTATGAATTATGAAATCTGCGTAAATTGCACTGGGAATCAGGCATGAGGTAAATGCAAGAATCCAACCATTTACACAGACCCTTGCTCTGCTAAGATTTCAGTAGACTCTTGCTTGCGTCTAGGCTCATGCTTGCCTTTGGAGCTTCAGTCAAGTCTTTCTCATGTACCTTGTGCATAAAACTGATGTCCTCACTCATCCTATTCTCTGCTCATTGCCACTGGGGCCCAGCAGCCTCTGGCACTGGAAGCTACTGGCTGGCTGGCAAGCTAAGGTCTCCATCTTCCTTACTGGCTTTGCTGTGCCATTATGAGCTACCCCAAATAAATCATGGGTAGGTTTTCCTAGCAAGGGGATGACACCTCCTTAATTTCAAAAGCAAGTGTTTGTTTTTTGTGTAGCAATCCCTAATGTAGGGTTGAGCTTGGCTCACCTGTCAACTGAACTTGTTCCTTGTTTCTGTCTTTCCAAAACAATCAAGCATGTCTTCAGGCACATGCTGAATGCCTTTCCACACCTCCACCAAGAGGCACCACCACCACTATCCACACCCACCTGACATCTGGGATTTGGGGACCTTTATTCCTTCATAATAAAGGCTAAGGCTTAATAATAAAGGCTAAGGCATAATAAAGGCTATTCCTTCATAATAATAGGCTAAGGTGCCTATTGGACAGGAGATGGAATGGTGACTGTGGAGGGATATGCAGAACCAAATCCAGACCTAAGAGGTTCAACACTCAGGGACAATGCAGGTTGTCAGTGTGTCTGAGGAAAATGCTCTGAAAGAAAAGAGCAGACAGAACGAGCCAGCTAACGTGCAGGGGTGCTCTTCCTCTACAGCATTCATTTCAAAAGCATAATTTCAGAGGAGTAGATCCATAGGTGTGCAATTTCAAGTTTTTAGACAGGCAGGGGTAGTTGAGGGAGGGCACCCTTTCGAGCATCTTCTGAAATCTCTGCCTGCAGCAAGCATATATGAAGGAAGGTTTGGGATGCAGAGAACAAGTGTTTGTCTGTTTAAATCAAAAGTTCTTGGGCACTAATAGCGAAGAAGGCCCTGTGAGCAATGTGATGGCTGCTAGACCTTGCGTGGGGAGCCAAAGGAGATTTCCATATTCAAAGCTGAAAACAGGCTGGAGCTGGGAATGCACCATCTAGCCCCCCTCCCCACTCCATGCCCCTCACGGCCAGCACGCAAACAGCGGTGCTCACTGGCTATCTGGGGCTGCGAGCTTCCAGTGGACAGTGATGCCCCCGCAGTCTCCTTCCCCACTGGAGCACCCAAGCTGGGCAGTAGGTAGCAGCCATCAACAAAATGCAGCGCACCAGAACAGTGAGGTGGAGGTACCGGGTGCTGCCCTGTTCGCTGTGGCAGGTGCTCAGAGGCCTCCAAGGGCTGGGGTGTGCCGGCATTGAGGGCACAAGCCTTCAGATCGCACCCTGTGTCTCTTCAAATTCATTTTATTTATCTTTTCGATTTATATTCTGCAGGGCTCAAGGCAGCTTGCATCTCCTCCTCCATCTTATCCCCACAACAACAACCCTGTGAGGTAGGCTGGGCTGAGAGTCTGCGTCTGGCCCAAAGTCACCCAGTGGCCCCATGGCTGAGCAGGGACGAGAATCCAGGTCGCCTGAGTCCCAGTCCCAGGCTCTAACCACTACGCCACACCGGCTCTCACGTGAACGGTGCCCATTTTGAAGCTAGCGCAGCTACAGCTGCCCCAAGTGGCAATGGGCACATGCTCTGTCAGGCTAATTTCTGCGTGATTAGCGGCATCCAGAAAACTGAGGGATGACTGAGGTTGTGCCACGGATGTGACAATGTCATCGCCTTAGAGCAAAGCTTTCAGGTGCGTTCTCGGCAGCCCTGCCACTTCCCAGCACTCAGGCAGGTGAGTGTCTTTGAGCAGGAGCAGTCTGCCTTCTGCCCATGCATCCCTTTTTACAAATGGGGTGAACGGAGTAGACACGGTCTCTTAAAAACACACACAGAGGGAGAATTTAGAGTACATGTGGATTATCCTATGCAAATGTGAATGTACTTTTTTAGGGTAATCCTGTTGGTACCCTGGCCCATCCTGGAAAGCCCGGCTTGAAGACAAAAAGCCATAAGGGAGTAAGAACAGGGGGCTGAGGTTGCCCAGCAGCATTTAGCACCCTGGCAGCAGACCGACTGTGCAGGTGATGGTCTGGCATTGGTTTCTGTGCCTCTAAGTGGGTGCATGCATGTTCCAGGCAAATCCGGACCTCTTCCAGTGATGTGTAAGCAGCCATCTGAAGCCACAGAGGGCGAGCCTGCCCTTCCCTGCTCCCACATCAGAGCCCTTCAGCTCTTTGCAGAGGACTGTCATGCCTCCGCTTCATCTTCCCTTCTCTTCGGAAGGTTAAACCCACCCGGCTCTTTCAACCATTTTGCACCGTATGCGCTTTCCACCTACGTTCCACAATGTGTTCAGCACCTGCTGTATATGCAGAAGAGGTTCAAATGCTGGCATCAGCAGCAGGGCTGGAAAATGCTCCTCCTGGAGAGCTGCTGCTAGCTGGTCTTTGTAGACCCTCCGCAGCTAGGCCTCTCTCAGCATAAGTTCTCAGGAATCCTGAGGTTCCTTGCAGGTTTTTAACAGGGATTTGTCAATGAGAATAGCAAGAATGTTTAGGTTTCTGCAGTATGCCTAGAAAATCCAGTGTGTCGCAAAGTTTTATTGGTGTCATCCTTGCCATGAACATGGTCAGTGTGGTTATTCCCTTATTGTAGTTGGCAGGGGAGAGGGAGCCGAAGTTCAGAGGAACAGAACCCCAGCTGTATTCATGGAGAAGAGACATAGGATGTGAAGACTTTCCACTTCTGGGATTTTCCAGTGTTGAGTACTGTCAATGAGCAAAATAAATACAGCTGCACCAGTTGCCCTTCGGCCCTCTCCCACAAGTCCTGATATCTGGAAACTGGTCATAGCTCCTCGTAGTGGAGGAAGGGATAATCTAATGAAAAGCAGGACCAGGCACCTAAACATATGACACAATCCTAAGCAAATTTACTCAGAAGTAAGCCCCAGCAAGTTCAGTGAGTGAAGTATTCCTTCGCACGTGTATCTCAAGTTGCAACTATACACTTGGCTCAGCTGGGATGTGTCCCATTAAACAGGCTTGCAAAGGCTTTGTCTGCAAAGCGCCCACTGTCACATCATCACTGTGGAGAAGGTCGGGTTTTGGAAAGGCAGGTTGTCGATCAGAGAGCAGAGGAGCTGTGTCTGCTGGAAATCCATCTTTGACACAATCACGCAAACAGGAGTCCTGATATCATGCCACTTTTGCTCTGCCCATCCACTACAATGAGAAAACCAGCTCTCTGATGGAATCAGACAGAACTCACTGTTCTGTCCTACATCAAAATCCCAGGGATTGGAACCTGTTCTGTTGCTGAATTATGAGCTTTTCCCAGGATAGTCCTCTCTTTTTTTCATTTAACATGAAGGCTTAAACCAAAAATCTTGGCTAGGACATGCTGGCTGCTGCAGGGCATTTTCTTCTGTCTAAATCTGCATAAGATTTGCATTTTTAGCTACTTTTCTGAAGCACATGATGGCTTACAAAAACAATTTAAAATCTATCCACTTTAAAATAAAAGGAAAGAAAAACTACAAACAAGACAAATTTTAATCAAGAAAAATAAAGGCCTCAAATGACTACAGGTAAATGCGAAGACAGTGTGTGTCCATGGGTCTGCGTGTGCCTGAAAAAATCCATTTATCATCATCATCATCCCATGAAAATACAATGCCACCAATACGCATGAAGGCGTCTTTCCGCTATGGGACTGAAAGATAGCCTTCTGCCCCAAGGAGCTTACAGATAGCTGCACCCACCCACTGCTTCGCTCCGTGACCAGGCTGCGACTGCAAGGACGGTGGATGGGCGGGGTGCCCCCCCCCCCCCGCCCCGCGTTTGCTGCTGCGCATCTACTCCATTGGTTGCGGTAAGGCTGGCAGGAGGACCCGAGCCCTCCTTCCGCGGGCTTCAGCCATTGCGCCGCGCTCAGCATCCTCGCACGCAATTCAACAGGAGGCGAGCGCGCCGGAGAGCGGAGCAGAGCCCAGCGCCCCTCGCCGCCCGCACCCCGAGACTCCCCGCCGCCCGCCCGCCCGCCATCCTCGCCTCCTTCTTCCCCGGCAGCGCCATGGCCAAGGAGGGCGCGGAGAAGGCGGAGGAGACCGAGCAGATGATCGAGAAGGAGGCGGCCGAAGGCGGCGACGGCGCGGGCGGCAGCAGCAGCCAGCGAGCGGCCGACGCGAAGGAGATGCGCGCCGTGGTGCTCTCCGCCTTCGGGGGGCTGAACAAGCTCCGCGTGTCCAAAAAAGTGATGCCGGAGCCGCAGGAAGGAGAGCTCAAGATCCGAGTCAAAGCCTGGTCCAGTATCATCCCCATCCTTATCATCCTCCTCTTCCGCCTCCGCCTCCTCTCCTGCTTCTAATTCTCCTTTTCGTCTTCTACGTCTTTCCCCCCTTTCCTGCCCCTGCCGCGCTCACTCTCCCCCGCCAGCGCCGTTCCCCAAACCCTTTCTGTGGGGCTAGCAAGATTTGGCTGGGGCGTAAAAACGCACCGAGGTGCGTACGGGGCCGAAGGGAGCCAGAAGGATGGGTGGCGATGCTCCGTGGAGAAAGAGGCGGCGAGAGAAGGGATTCTTAGTTGCCCCGGGGCATGGATGGGTAAGGAGGCACCCGGAGAGGGAGCCGGCCTCCCTTCCTCTCCCGCGGACACTTTTTGCAAAGTTACAGCATGCTTCGAAGCGGGTTTATGCAGCAGTAAGCGCCTTCGGCACAGTGGGGCTTACTCCCAAGTAAGGGTACAATCCTACGCATGTTTACCCATAAGTAAGCCCCACTAAGTGCAGTGAAGCTTACTGCCAAGCCAGGGAGCTTCAGGTTTACTCAGAAGTAAATCTCACTACGTGCAATGAGGTTTACTCCCAAGTAAGAGTTCATTGAATTGCAGTCTTCCAGAGCGCTCATATGCACAGTTGACTCAGCAGTAAATTTCACAGTGTTTAAAGGCGATCACCCTGGGAAATGGACGTAAGAGCTTAGCAGGATGGTCCCCTGCCTCCCCACCCTTATCATCAGCATTTAATTCTACCGTTTTTCATGCCTTTTGGTCTAGCTGCCTGTTTGCATTGTTTTGCAAGAGGGCATCTTAAAAATTCATCATGTCTGCATTCTGGGCTGCTTGGGAGCCCTTGGGAATCTGTAAGTCTATTGCTTCAGCCTTCTGAATGGGCATGATGGAAGAGAGCAGCATTTTGGCCTTTTGTGATTCTTTTTCCTCAGTCTTAACTCTTCTCCCATGTTTGTGACTCTGCAGTTTAGTAGTATACTGGCTGGTTTCCAAAATGTTGCTAGCCTCTTAATTCTAAAAGGCTTCTTTGGTGTTAACTTTTTTTTTTTTAATTTTTGTTTTGTCAGTCATGGATTGATTGTGCTTGGTTGACGCAGCTGAAAGCAAAAAGAGGTTCTATGATTTTTTAAAAAATGTCTTGGCTCAGAATGAATCCTCCTTCTCCCAGTAGCCCTTGCACGCGCGCGCGCGCACACACACACACACACACACACACACACCCCCCTCTTCCCACTGTCTGACAATCCTACCTGCAAATCCATACGTGCTCTGATAAGAATGAGCTATATTTTGAAATTGTTTTAATTGGTACTGTGTTTCTGTCTAGCAAAATAATTTTGAGATTGACCAATACTGGGGAGACTGGGAATACAGACAGATGCTTGCAACATCTGGGGGTAGTGCAAAATCTGTGAATGAAGTTTATATAAGAGGCAGGTTAGCACAGGCGATGCGGACCGGGATGAAGGGCTAGGAGCATGATGCCAACCCCACTGTTGGATTCGTGAAAGAAGCTTTCTTCTAATGATCACAGGGTCCTAATTTATAAATTCTTCTAAAACTGCAATCCATTGCATACTTTCTGGGAAGTTAAGCCATCAACCTCAATACAATGTGCTTCATCTTGAAGTATAATGCTAATGTGAAACAAACTCTTATTTTTCTTTCAGAAATCTAATACGTGGGAAAAACTCATTCCTACATTTGTCCCTTCTGCCTGCCGTTCAATATTGTTTATACATTCAATAACAAAATAAATCAACTAGCAACACATTAACCAATTGCAGTATATTTATTAGAAGTGCAGACATGCAAACATATAAACACAATTTCACCCCCCCCTCCAATTATCATCTAAACTTGAACAAAATCATTATCACTCCTTCCACTGCCCACTCCACAGCCCCAGAGGAGGGGGATATTTGAGGGGAAACGGTGATTTCCTAATCTTGTAATCAACCAGAAGTACAGGAAGTCACTCTACTTAATCGAGTTTTAACAATATAATTGGACCTTTTTCAAATAACTAAATAAAAGACTGTAACCCATGCAAACTTAGCCCAATAGATTTATGCTGGAGGAAATTAATAATAAATTTAAATCCTCTCAGTAAATACAGATTCAGAAATATCTGAGAAGTTTCTCTTAGAGGACTTTTTCACAACATAGTTTAGAGGAGAGACATATTGACATTAATTATGCTTGACTGATATATAGAGGATTTTCAGAGTAATGGCATTTTGGAAAAATGGGCAATGTAACTGCAACAAGTTCCTGACTGATTTTTCTCTTGCTTTTCCATCTTCTTCCTCATTGTTAACTGGATATAAACAAAGCCTCATGCAGAGCTGATGTCTAAAGGACCCAAAATGGGCAACTGTCTAGGTTTTCAACAATCTTACACTGGTCTATAAAACTGAGGCTGTAATCCTGTACACATTTACTTATGAGTCAGTTGCATTGAATGCATGTGTAGAATTGGCCTGCCTATTCTGTATTTTATTCGGTTGAATCCCAACTAAGTTGTTTGAGCTTCTCCCACTGAAATCACTTGAAGTTAGGGTAGTTGTGACTAATGTCTCATTGATTTTAGTGGGACCGATAGTGACTAATGGTCCACACAACAGAAAGTAAAAAGAAATTGCATGCACGTGTTCTTGGACTCTTGCTGTTTGAAGGCAGTCTCAAGATTTAATAGCCCATGCTTTTGTGCAAGTAGATAAAATTTGCATTGGCTTCAACTTGACAGGTTCAGTTAAGTAGCACTATTAGCTGATGGTCCATGATGGACCAATAGTTTCTACCGCGTCGGCCTGAAAGGCCTGATAGGCAGAGGCAATTTTGTGTTCACAGTGAACACAGTGTAGTATTTTGTGAACACAGTGTAGTGTTGTGTTCTTTATCTGCCAGATATTCATACCCATCTTCCAGCAAATAAAATACTGCTGTTACAATTTACAATCAGAAATGTTAAATCAATTTCAGTTTAATAGTCTTCTTTTTAGCTATCACCTGCACCCCAAAAATAATCTTTAAAAAAAGTTAAAACTATATGTTAATAGATGAAACCTAACAACTAAGTAGGTAAAGTTTAATCAGTTTCTGGATGGGAAATTACCTTGGAACCTTTATCTCCATCACTGTAAGTTCTTTGGTGGAAAGACAGGCCAGGAAAGTAATCAATAGATGGACTACAGAGGATCCTATTTACGGTGTAATCCGAACCCCAAATCTGCCAGCTGGAGCAAGTTAGACTCCCATGAGCAATAGAAGGGAGCTTAGGCAGGGGAAAGGGCATCAGCCTCAAGGTCCTACGTACACTGACAGACACCTCCATGGATGCAAACATCCTGCAGTGGCCAGTGGCTCCATTGTCAGTGGAGCAATGCACCCACGCCAGGCTTCTGTCTGAATGTTAAAGGAGCTATTTGCATTGCTGAATGGGGACTAGGGTTCAGCACCATGGATGGCTCCATAAAGCTTTAGCCTAAAACCCAGAACAGACATGCCTCCACATTGATCCTGGAGGCACCAGACTCCATGGAAAACACTTGCCAGCAGTGGTCAACAGAAGACCCCAAATTGGGATATTCTGCAGACAGAGATGTTGCCCCCTCCACTGAAATCAGAAGGAGGCCCATAAAAAGGGCCAAGGTCTGCAGGATGGAAATTCGCCCCCACCTTGTGCCCCATCTGCCCAAGTTCCAGCAGGATTTTGGAAGCATTTGTGGCTTCATAATGGCTCTCTCTGTCAGGCAAGTTTAGACTTGCTGTTCGCCTTCAGCCAAAAGGCAGTGAGCCACTTGTCCCACTTCTGGACTGTATCGCTTTGAAGCAAGCATGCCAAAAAATAGGGAACCTGCGTCTGTACTTGACAGTTCATTCAGATGTGCATCAGATCTGCAGCGTGGCCCATTCAATTGCGAGAGAGTATTCGCAGCAGCAATGTAAAGGATCCCATCGTGGAGGGAGCAGGAGCCCAAAACGGTGCATTATGCGTGAGGCAAAAGGACAACGTGCAAGCACACAGGCACACATTTGCCCCTTGAGCACGGTTGGCATGTTGTCTGAACCCAGGCTGAGCTGTCAACAGCACTCAGGAGTGAGACAGGCAGTTAGCCAGAGAATGAAAGCTGAAGAACAAAGCCAGGGAACCAGATCCATGAAACATGTCAACTGGCACGATCTCAATGTTCGGGCAACGTCAGAGCTCGATTGAAAAGCCCATTATAGTCCTACTTGTGCAATGGCTTGTCTGGGTGGGATAGTCCGGAGCCTGAGAAGGTGATCCAGGCTGGAAGGCATGAAATAGCTTACCACATGTGGATCCACCCAGAGAACTGAAGATCCTGGGCCCCAGCCCTGATCTGATCAGCAGCTCCAAGATCATGCTCCAGAGAGTGTGCATTCCATCAAGAACAATTGCCCATTGAAATTGGGGGACCTCTAGCACAGGTATTCGCCATCGGCGTGAAAGCAGCACACCCATCCATCCCTCCACGCACCCTGTTTTAGTGAGAGGGCTTAGGAGATCGCTCCTGTCTAAGATGATAAGGTTGCCGAAAATCCAAAAACTGTTGAACAACCCTTGTTCTCAACCTCTAAAGTGAAAGTGCACACATTTCTAAAGAAAATGTTTGCATGTTTCCAAAACTGTGAACTTACTCAAAAAGGTGCATTTTCATGTCTTACTGAATGGGGAGATCCGAGTGTATCATCAGAGTGCACCTCTAAAAATGCATCTTCTTACTGGGGAAAAAAGACTTGCATTTGGTTACAAGGTGAGGCAAGCTTTGTGTGCAAAGTTGGAGAATCTTGGCAAGCTTGAATACCTGCACATGAGCGATAGCCGCCATACCAACATGGGACCTGAGAACCATATTTTGTGCACTGCTTCCCATTTTCCCCTGTCTTTAATAATTGCAGGAGGCTCTGCTACTCAGGCTTTGTTACATACAAGCTTTATCACCAATCAGCTAATGTTAGGACCTCTGAACATTTATGTCTGGAAGAGG